TTTACTTGGGGTGGTGAAACTCTGGAACAGGCTGCTCTCCAGTAGCTGTGGAGTTGCACCTGCCACATGCCTGGAAGTGCTCAAGGCCAAGCTGAATGGGGCTGCCTGGTCTAGTAGGAGGTGTCCTTGCCCATGGCAGGGGGTTGAACTAGACAATCTTTACAGTCCCTTCCAACGCAAGGCAATCTGTGGAATCTCTTCTGACTTTGCCCTGTCAGCATTGGCCTGAACATTCTCCATTTACAAAACAGCACTTTGCAGGTATGTGCTTTAATATTTTTAGTTACACGCATGAAGGAGACAAAAGTAAAGAAACTTCAAGCAGGAAATTGTGACTGCAATTATGTGAGCTATGGCACAAGATTTAGTCACACAACCACACATACAGTATGTAAAATAATACCTCATAACAGTCCTCCTAAATTCCTGATAACATCTACTGCAGAGCTCTTAAGTGACCACATATACCACACATAAGTTATGGGAATATAAAACAACTGACAGAATGACAGACATTTACAAGCTACACTAAAATGCAAATAAGAGATAGTTCTTATACAGTAAAAGTGTACAGCTGCAACTGTATTCAAGTCCATCCCAGTCTTTTTATTTCAAAACCTCAAAACATAAATTCAAATCAATACAGTAGAGCCATGAAGCCACTCTAGATCAAGATATAGAAGACAGAATCCAATGGAAAATGTTGCTGCAATGTTACAGTGCATTTTAAAAGATTAAAATATTTTTAAAATATTATTTCCTCTAATTTCACCGACCTTTTCCAAGTAGTCTATTGATACTGACAAGATATTGCCTTTTTTTTTTAAACGTGTTTGCGCAATCGTTATATATGCCAGAGCTTTCCTTTTCTGCTTTTTTCTTATTAGAGATTCCAAAAATATTTTTAGAATTTCCTAAATCAAGATACTGAGGGTTTCTGTTTTGAATAAACCAGAATGTTCAAATGCCCATGTGAGACACGTGAGCTGATACCAGGCCTTCATAGGTGAGGTCAGACCAACCACAGCACACGTGGTACACTCTGTGGAGGTCTACACTTCCAAAGGCAACAGGGACATAACTCTCACCAAAGCCAACCAAAGGGATTTTAATCCACAAACAAGAAGGCCAAGCTGGGAAAGAAGCTCTGCACAAGTGCCAAAAGCACTGTATCAGTAAATATTACCCACTCAAAATTGGCACCAGCAGCAATGCAGCTGTGATCCAGTATGGGCCAGCAGCCTTGTGCACTGCTCCAGAACTCACAGGCTCCATTAACATCACCAGGTATCACAAGTTCAGAATTGATAATGGCCCAGGCTCCCATAAACACACTGCACTGCAAATATTCCTTGCTTAATAGTTTAAGCTGGCATCAATCTTAAACATATATAAGCCAATGTCTATGAACATACTGATGTATTTTTATTTCAGGGCCTATTGATTTCTGGCAAGATATTTCTTTGTAAAACATATATACATAAAGTAAGATGCCTTGATAACATCCCACAAGCATGAATGCAAAACATGAACCCAAGCATGGCAGCTTATGCTTATTCTCAAAGAGAGCTACCTAGCGAGGACATACAATTTAAACATAACCCAGGAACACCATGCAAATACAACACATTACAGTACCAAGCAAACACCAAGGTTTTGATTACTTCTAACCCATAATCTGTATTAGAGGATGCAAATTACAGTACCCAGAAAAATCCAACAGCGTGAGTTGTAAGAAAGAAAAATGTAAATAGTATAATCATCATATTAAAAATGAGCTTCACCAAACATATTTCTCTTGTCTCAACAGAGCTACTCAAGGACCACCATTTTCTGTTAAAATAAACAGATACATAATTTATATTTCAATATTAATTTCAAATTTGTGTGGCAGGTATCTGAAATACACCCAAAAATATCCTACATATACATATTACCTGCATGCATATTCATAAAAAGAGTTGCAGCAGTGAAGAAACCTGCTCTCAATAAACTTAAAACTATGAATTTGGCTGCTGCTGGTGGTTTTTCTAAAAGCTTTCCCTTTCCAGAGAAGATGAGCACAAAATGCCTGCCACTTTACTCAGCATCTTTAACATATACCATAATTCCTTCCCAGGTATTTTCTAGAGCATTTCATGTCAATCTACCTGCAGGAGCGTGTGCAAAAGTGACACAGAGTGATACAAGTCTGACAACTACTGGTGTGGAAAATGGAGAAACCAGACTGCATTATACATTTCCAGGATGTCGAGTCCCTGTTACCAAGACCCTACATTGCTTATCAACCAAATTAAAAAAAAAAAAAAAACAAAAAAACAAAAAACCAAGAAAACCAAAAAAACAAGCAAGCAAGCAACCACAGGAAGACCTAAAAAACAAAGACTCTCCATCTTCGCAACTATTTCTATTTTAAGTTAGCAAGTTTCCTGCTTGGGCGATGACGTTTTGCAGATGCTACAAGAAACGCTACATGGTATTCATTAATCTGGGGCAAATCAATTAAAATTATACAACTGCTCGGTATGCAAGTATCTGTGCATAAAAGTTCTCCTCCGCCACTAACTGGCGTTCAGCAAGTAGTTATTTTAGCTAAAAGCGCCGAGCAACTCACTAGCTGTATAACTGCTACATCTTGTGGCAACACAACACAAGGAGGAAAAGCAGACAATACCCGAAAGGGAACAGCGAAGGGACTTGTTTGCTCATAACCTTCATACAGATATTCCCTGCAAACACCCACAACACCCTGCTGTCGCTGTCGGTGTAACACAAGAGGGGAGGAGCAGGGGAGGGAGGAGAAAAATATTATCATCGAAGGCGTGATGGAGGACAGGAGAAAGTTGCAGTCATTCCGTGGCGGCCGCAAGGCGCCCTGTCACTTCTGGCCGCAAAACCGGCCGCCCCCCAGGGCGCTTTCCCCATGGGGACGAACCTCCGGCCCCTCTCTTCCCACCTCCATGATGCCAAAAGTGCCCAACTCCCTCCAGCAACAGCGGCTGCATCCTCCGGCGCAGCACTTCTACTTAGCCGCTGGCGGAGGGGAGCCTATTTCGGGGAGGACGCGGCGAGCGGCCGCCCGAGGAGACGCGAGCGGCTGCGGCGGGCGGACGGCCCGGGGACGGAGGGAGCACGGCGGGTCCCCCTCCGCGGCCCGGCGCGGGGGGTAACAACGAGGCGCCGCCGCGCTGACGAGCGGGCGGGGGCGGCGGGGCCCCGCTCGCCCAGCGACCGAGGTTCCGCTCACCACCACCGGGCCCAGCGCTGACCCCGCGCCGCCGCCGGGGGCACCGGCCTCTCCCGCCGCCGCTTCCCAGCGGCCCGGGACCGGCCTCCGGCGGCGGTGGCTGGGCCCCTCCCCAAGGGCCGGGCCCCCCGCGCAGCCCCGCGGCGCGCTGGTTACCTTCCTTGGGCGGCTTGCCGGGCGGCGCGCCGTGCAGCTGGGAGGCCGCCGCCGCCGCGGAGCAGCCCTGCAGGCTCGGTGGGGACGTGGAGAGCCGGGACCAAGATGGCGGCCCCTCCAAACTTCCACTGCTACTTTGGACACTCATCAAGCTACTTTCCTGGAGCCCGGCAGCCGCCGGGGGCGGCGGGGAAGGCGGCGCGGCGGGGGGACACCCAGCGCCGCGCTCATGGCCGGGGGGCCGGCCCGACACCGGCGCGGGGAGGCCGCCGGCTGGGAGCGAGCTCCGGAGGCAGGCGGGGCGCGGGAGAGACGGGGCGCGGGGCCAGCGCAACCTGCCCGCACCTCTGCACTGCGTCGCCGCCGCCGAGCAGCCGCCTGTGTCTGAGGCCAACCTTCCCCGCCGCCGCCGCCGCTGCCGCCGGGGAGGGGAGGGGAGGGCGCAGGCGGGGAGGGGTCATGCGCAAACACGATCGCGAGCCGAGCGAGCGCCGCGCTCCGCCGGCGCCCAGCCGAGCCCCGCCGAGCCGGAGCCGCCCAGGGGCGGCCGGCGGGAGCGGCGCCAGGCGCGCACGCACCTGCCCCCGGCCCCGCTGCGCCGCGCGGCCCGAGCGCGTCGGCTGCTCCCGCCTCCGGGCTCCGACCCCGGGCCAGCTCGCAGCCACCCGCCGGCTGACCCCTCTCCCCGTGCATGCCCGTCCCGCGGCGATACCTCCCCGCCTTGCCCAAGCGCGCACCTTCCGCGCCGCGGGCGGCCCTCCCTTGGCCGCCCCGGCCCGGCCGGAGCTAGCTCCCCTGAGGCCGCGCCGTTCTCCTCCGTCTCGGTTTCCTCGGCGGCGCGGTCCGCCCGTGCCGCCTCGCCTTCCCCCGCGCCCCGCCGCCACGGCCATGGTGGTGTCGGGGCGGGGCGGCGGGGGCGGGAGCGGCGGCGGAGACGGTACGCGCGGCTGCCGGGGCCGGGGCCGCGCCGCCCGGCACCTCCCCGGCGTGCGGCCGCGCGGGGCGAGCCCGGCCCGCCGCTGCGAGAGTGCGGGCGGCAGCGGCGGGGCTGAGCGGGCTTTTCCCTGCGCGGTCCAGGTGAACGCTGTTCAGGCAGCATCTCCGGGCGCTCTCGGGCGCCTGCCGCGTCTCAGCGTTCTTCTCCCGGACAGGACGGTGTGGCAGCAGAGACTCGGGGGCACTCGGGAGAAGCCGATGTCCCGAGGGAGAGAGAAGGCTTTGGCCGCCAGCCGCAACCCGCTTCGCTGAGGAGCGGGAACTCCCACCGGGTGAACTGGAAGTCGGGCAGGAGCCATTTACCAGGCCCACCGCCTCACCCGCTGCAACCACCAGGCTGGGGCTCCCAGGTGGGCACCAGCGCCGACCTGGCAAATTTCAAAACTTCCCTCTCTGCCTTGAGTTTGGAGACTAAATTGCAAACTTAGCCGAATTTTTCAGTTATTCCTTCCTTAAAATTAACATAATCATAACTGAGAATGTAAGATATATGGAAAGTCACTTCTGAAACAAAGCCTTTTAACTTACCAGTGCAACTGGTAAATATATTTTATATATATTTAGATATATAACAGGGATAAAAATTACTATGATTACTTACAAAAAATCACGAGTTGCAGATATATTGCATTCTGTGTATATGAAGAATATCTTCATCATTCAGGCATGGTGCTTATTTTGTGGTTGCTGTGTGGAGACATCCTGTCCATCTACTAACCTACTTTCTCCTCTATTTGAGAATGACAGGAATAGATTACTAATGTTGGATTGCAGCTCTCTGCACAACACACATATTACTAATTCTGTCTCTTCCTTTTAAAGTGACATCTGTGAAATTATCTAAGATCTTCACCTCCCACAAGTATACAGCATAGCTGCAAGTTTCCTTGCAGTTTGGTATTAACTTAAAGTAAAAATTAGTATGTTTACTTGATAAACAAGTCAGTTCCAGGGCATATATCTAGTAACAGCTAATATGTATATATAGATATAGATAGATTTTTTTTTTTTTGCAGAGAGGTGATCTGATATTTCAACAAGAAATTGCTTTTAAGGACTTCATCCTAAAGACTTTATGTAAGCAAATTACATCAGGAAATTTCCAATACTTGGGAGTGAAGTAAAACAGTGCTGGTTCACTCTGACTGCATTAATACTTAGCAGCTGGTATAGAATATTCTTGCTAGGTAAAAACTAAAACATACTCATAATCCCACAATCCATATGATAGCATAAGTGACCATGCACCTGGTTTCCTGATGAATATATCATGCTGCAGCATGCTGCTTCTAAAATCTGCCAAGTAAAAAGCAGTAACTGAAAGAAATTGTCTCTTCATTTATAGCCCTTTGCATCCACTTAATACAAACGCCTGCTATCCTTACAAAACCATACATAAACAAGCATTCTTTCTTCCAGTTTTGCTTACAAACTGTTGCCTACAAATCATTCCACTGACACAGTTGAGACTTGTTCAAATAAAGCATTATTTGCTTTGATTAGGGGAACAGGACATCATGAAGAAGATCCCATTCATTACTTCCTCTATCAGACATGCAGATTAAGTATTATAAAAATGCTGAAGTGTCTTTTATATTTTCATTAGCACTATGAAAAATAATCAGATTTTTGCCATCTCATAATGTGTTAGACAACACCTCACCAAGGGACCAGGAGTAAGTGGGCACATACTGCTTGACTTCCCAGCAGAGCACAGTGTCTGCTGCAAAATATGGGTTGAGTCTGCATATAGAGCTGTATCTCTTGGTTTCGTGCATTGTTGAAGTAGAGATTGAAAGCAGAGTGTGAATTATATACATCATCTCCAGATGGGACAACATATATAACTTCAAGAGTACATAGAGTTGGGTATATTCCTCTCTTTAGTTTACAGAAAACCTACTTTCATACTGAGTTAGAGCTGACACTGATTTTAATGTACCCCTTTATTTGTAAGCCACATTGCCTCAGTGTTACAAATTTAATAGTATCATGGCAAGAGAGAACATCTTCCATAGTACTTTTCAGAAATTTCAAATTTCAAAAGACTTCCTGTATCAAATAGCATCGTAAATGTACATAATGCTTTTCTTTGAATGCCTTGTCTTTATTTTGCTATAAAACTGTATGATCTGGGGGCCAGAGAGATGGCCTTTCTCTCACAGTGGTGAGCAGTCAGTCAGCATCACCTGCCCAAAATAATAAATATTAAATCCAACACAAATAGTACTAAGTATTACTAATTATTTCTTTAAAATATAATATATATTAAATCTTTCTCTTTGCCTTCTAATTCTTAGAAACAGAATAGTTTTTATCAAGGTTTATGTGAACACTGCATACCATTAACATCAGGCATAACTTGAGGTAGTAGGTAGAGGGAATCAACTTTTAGTGGGATTGCTCTGGATAACAATGAATAAGGTGCCACACACCTACTTACATAGGAAAACTTGATTCCAGGTGAAGTCCCAGAAAACTCATTTAGTTTTGCTAATTCCTAAGGAAGAGGACCTCAAAACTCAGATCAGAACAGAGAGGAGTAAGAACCCTGTGTGCTGATTTTCTCATAAGAATGTGTCAAATGAATGTTAGCAATGTTTATGACAGTAGTAACTCTCTAATTGAGGACAGTTGAAGAATGGAGGAGTATAAGGAATTTTCCTTATTCCAAAGATGAAAAAAAGGTAAGCAACAAAATCCTGAAAAGCATTAAAATTCTAAGAGCTTTCAATTTTGTCACTGGAATTATCTATGCAAGAAACTTTTATCACAGTAAGTTCACAATCTCTAGGAAGTAAGAGAAGTTAACTGGCAGCAAAGGAAGGTGCCTAAAGAAAAGAATAATGGTCTGAATAGTGACAATAAGGAAGATTACAGCAGGAATAAGTTTTTGGAGACATCTACCTTGCATCTGTAAAGATTACTGTGCACTTGGATCAAATGTCAATTACAAAATTTCACATACATCCTTTAGAGAACAAAGAGACATAATCTCAAACATTACACATAAAATCCAGAGTTTATCCCACATGTTCTTAAGGAAGAATATGCTGTGACTGAGGGGCAAGTTACAGAGATATGGCAGTTCCTTCCCTGTTCCGAGAGCTACATTGTTCATAGGCACCAAATACATTTTGGTGTCCTTATGAAAGATTTGTCCCTAATAACATCAAATATCACATGTTGTTAATCGCTGCATATATCTTACTTGTGTTTTTCCCAGCAAAGTCAGTTTGCTATTAGCAGGCTTAGGTTTCATGCAAGCAGCAGATGGTGCAATACCAAGGTGTAGTGACTGACCAAGCCAGGATTATATGAATAATGTATGTTTACACAGAGGTTCCAAATAAGATAATTTTTAAATTATGTCAATAATTAGAAGGAAGGCCTCCAATTCACAAGATGATTGGAAGTAGAGGTAGAAGAGGGAATTGATTTAGCAGGCTGGTTCTTTTAGGAAGGAACGTGAAGTGTTACAAGAAATGACAATATCTTTGCAAAGTAGTAAACTATATGCTCTAAACTATATGCTACACCATATACTTCCAAACTTAAATCAGTCTATCAGCTACAAACCGGGGAAATGCCAGGAGTCAGAGATCACTAGGGTCCCTACCTCTGATGCTTTTGGTATTTATTTTACATATAGCTTCTTCCATCTCCTTGGACTTGGCACAAGACAGTAGAGCAACCAAGACTTAGCATCCTTTGATTTATCCCCTCAATTATTTGTGATGCCAGTGAAATGGAGGTTTCAAATTCTTTGTTAGTTCCTTGTCAGCCTAGCACTGGATAATAGACCCATAGCATTATTTTCTTAAAGCAAAAGCTTTTACAGTATGCCTCACTGCATATTTGCCAATATTTATGAATTTTATACATAAAAATATGTATACACATGCACTCACCTACCCCATATATAGAAAGACCTACACAGATCCCATAACTATGCCAACACTAGCAGCCAATCTGATTTAATTAACATAGTAGAAAAATATTTTTGCAACTAAGGAGACACACTGGTGTAGCACCTTGTGTAGAAAATGCTGAAATTATTTCATCATCAAAATGATGTATTTATGACATTTCTAGGTTAGATGTAATATAATATGCTGCAAAAATATAACAGAAAAAAAATGCTGTCTTCTGTCTTGGTGAATGCTGAAAGTTTGTAGCTCAAACACTCTGTCCTTCCTTCTTCTAACACAGCTGAGCACATGTATGGACAATCCCTGGATCAGACCAACATGCACGTGGCCAGTCTGGGCTGGGATAATGACTAGAATCTTCCAGTCTGTATTCTGTAGGTCAGAAGATTCAGATTCAGTTTTGGCACAACTACAGTGTAAAATGCCACATGACTGTGGCAGCAAGCGCATTGCTGTGATAGAACACTATCTCAGCTTGGAACAGCTTCTGCACCTGTTTTCTCATGAAGCATTTCTATTTATGAGCAAATAGGAATGTTGCAATTGTACTAACATTGATTTTAAAGTTTAGTTAAAGTTTTCTAAAACTGGTTTAGTGCAATAACACTTTTATAGGAAAAAGTTGTTTTGAACTCAATTAAATCAACTCAGAGATTCACTGAATTAGAACTGCATTCCTAAGCCATATACTGCACTACAAGCTTTACAATTTTTTTAATATGGCATTTGCCAGCAACTCTGAGTTGCAAGGTAACGAAAACATGCATAAATAATACACTAGCAAAAATATCTTCCCTACCAGCTTATCAAGATGCAGAGAAGCTAAAATGAAAACAATGTTATCACATTAGGCCTACGTTTAAGAACTAGACACAAACACTGTGTAAACACAGTTATATTTTTATCATTTATGTAATTGTCATAAACTGCAATTATTATACCTTTAATATCATCACCATTAGTCAGATTCAGTGATCCACCTCTGCTATAATGATTTTTGTTCCAAATCTCCAAGAAGCCTGCACACAACTTCCTGTCAAACCAAACATGAAAATTAAATAGAATTTGGGGGATTTTTTTTTTTTGCCATGCAAATATTTCTTTCTACTCCAGCTCTAGCTACTTTGATTATTAGCTACATTCCAGTCAGACTCAAGGGCAGTTTTACAATCTTCTTGTTTATGTCATTTTAGTAAAAAATAATTTGGTTTTAAATGTTCTCTGGTGAAGAAATAAAAAAGTCTGGATGGATGCTACATTCATTTTCTTTCTCCCCATCTGTCTGTTTTCATTTTATTATATTACTTTCCTTCCCATGTCCCTTGCAATCTACTTGTCTGCTCTTCCCTGCAATTTTTTTCTACACTCAGACTATTCCTTTTACAATGTTGCTGTCAGGTAAACAGGCCCCTCTTATCTGTCAGGCTTCCTCTCCGTGTTTTTTTAAGCTTATGCTTTCCCACACGTCTTTCATAGTTCTGTCTCACTCTTTACACCTTATATCTTCTTTCCTGAAGTATCTGTCTTGCCTGGAGCTTATTTTGTTGCCTTTGATTTTAAGCCATTAGAGACAGACAGTGTTTGCAGAGAGCCATGTCTGTATATGGTTTCCAATAGCAATGGGGCATGTCTTGATGCTTTTTTCAGGCAACAGGCTTACCAGTTTAGGGTTGTTGGTTTGGGGTTTTTTTATAATTGTTTAATAAGGCCTTCAAATTTTAGCCACAAAACACCAACGATAAGCCTGACAGATAATTAAATATTAGATGCTAAAATAACAGTATTCTAATTACAGACTCTCTGCCTCTGTTCCCTTCCAGCTCCAGATGAGCTGGTCTGCTGCATCATTCTGCAATGCCCCCTGTGCTGGGAATAGGGGAGCTGCTTTGCTCCAACTGTTCTGACTCAGTTCAGTGTCCTACCCCTTGTTCTGTCCAAGCACACCTCCAAAAAACAGATAACAGCCCCATAGTCAGCAGATTTAGAACAACCTTTCTTTCAGGGTTCTGAGACAGTTGAAGAGATAAGAGAGGAAAGGCTGCTTTGCATATTTAGCTCATCGGTTAATGCTTCCTAATGAGACAAAGGTGGAAGATATAAATACTAAACTGATCACAAAACAATAAAATTAATGATGCCAAAGAAAGCATTGAGTGACAGAAAGAGTATGGCTTTCCAAACATGGATTCTTCTTGGCTTACGGAATGAATGGGTGGGTAGATCTTCTGGAAGAAATTCATAAGGAAATAGGAGCATAGGAGAGCCAACAGTTACTGAAAGAAGTGTATTAAAGGCACAACAGCAGAGTACCCTGATGTAAAGTAAGCACTGGAAGAGAGCAGCAAGGCTTCATCAGGAGCTATTTGGTTAACTGAAAAACAGAAAGGAATCACACAAAACAGTGAAAACAATAACCTAAAAAGGAGTTTAAAAGCATAGTAACACACTGGAAACTAGAAACCCACACAAGGAACAAAGGATGAAGGCTAAGAGGCTATATGAGTTAATCTAGGAAAGGATCTAAGTAAAAGAATATCTAAGTAAGAGACAGCAAATTATCTAAGTAAGAGACAGCAAATAACGTGAGATGAAGAATTCTGAAATACACAAAAGCTTATTTGCCTAATGTGTCTACAAAATATCTTAGTGTCAGACATGCAAAGCAATTAATTTCAACAAAGGTCTAAGACACACAGACCAGAAAAGGGAAGGAATGTGTTAAGCAATATTAAGAAATGCCAGTTTCCAATCCTGCTGATTTAAACATGTAGTTCAGAAAGCAGTGGATAAAGCCAGCCTCCCTGTATCCTCGTGTCTCTTGACTGCATTAGCCCAGAGCAAAAAGTATGACTGAAATTTATAGCTGGAACATTCTTCTGTGAGTTTTCCAGTACCTGATATCAGGGTTTCATTTACACTGAATTCCTTGTTGCCATGGTAGGCTCTCTATTTGCCTGCTTATTTTCACAAAATCTTTAGAAATGTGGTGTCTCTGAGACCACAACTACTTGGTCCGCTTCAGCTGGATAGTAAGCAACAAGTTCAAAAGGCATGGCGTGGCCTGACTGGTCATATGTGGGATTGTATAAACTGTGTTTCCATAGGAAAATGTGCCAAAAATTACCCTGGAGCACTTAAAAGATAAAATAATCTCTGAATCATGATTCTGTGTTGGGAGCAGGGAGGGGGTGCTCTGGAGG